CCCCGCAGGCCCCGCCCCCGCAGGCCCCACCTCCTCCGGGCCCCTCCAGCCCAATACCTCCTTTGGCTCGCCGCCCCCCTCTTTCTGCGTGGGGGCTGCGGGCTGCTGCTTTTTGAGGATTGGGGTGTACTGGGGGTGTGGGTCCTGGCTTTTGCTTCCAGAGTCTGATTCTTCAGTCCTTAGCGAAAGTCCTGCTGGCTCAGGAGTCTGCTGGGACAGAAACAGGCGGGAGGAAGTCGGTGCAGGAGGAATGGCCGTGGGGGCGGGCAGGTGATCCAGGAGGGCAGAATCACAGGGTCTGGGGGGAGGGTGGGCTGGGCGGGGAGGGGCACAGGAATGTGGCCTGCCCTGGATTCCCTGGGTGAGGAACAGGGGATGGAGACAGCAAGGACTCCAGGAGGAGGGGAAGAGCTGGGGTGACGGCAATATGGAGCATAAAACTTAATTTCCCCTGGAACACGGGGCCAGGCCAGTCTCTATCTGTGCCTGTGGTTGTAAAAATGCAAGAGGCTTGAGCAGTCTTTAGCTCAGAATAACATCCCAAATCTATACAGGAGTCCATATACAAGGCCCCCTCGCTTCACCTCTCTGACTTCATCTCCCACCTCTCCAACCCCTGCTGGCTTCCTCCCTGCTCTCGCTCTTCTTCAGGCACATCAAGTCTCCTCCTACCACAGGGCCTTTGCACCTGCTGTTCCTTCTGCCTAGGATGCGTTTCCTTTAGTTGTCTGCATGACGCCCTCCCTTAATTCCTTCAGGCATCCCCTCAAAGGTCCTCTTACCAAAGCAGCCTTCCCTGATGTCTCCATGTAAGGGCCCCAAACCTGTCACTCCCTGTCACTGCTTGGTGTTTCTTCCTAACACTTATCATTACTGGGCAGATTATGTGTTCTCTGTGTTATGTATTTGTTGTCTGTCTCCTCTCATTAGAATGTAAGCTCCGTGAAGGCAGGGATATTTTGGTCAGTTTTGTTTCCTGCTGTTTTCCCAGTGCCCAGACAGATGCCTGGCACACAGAGTGGTCCTGCCTGAACTTCCTCCAGGAGGCACAGCTGCCTTCCAGGTGAGTGGTGGCACCCTACTCTGTATTTCCTCCCATCACCCTCACACTTAATGGCCATTATTTGCGGGTTTGGGACCTGGCTGTCTTGTCCCTGGCTCTATTTACAGGGCCTGCCAGCATCTGGTACATGTGGGCACTCAGTAAACAGATCTTAACATAAAAAACAAATGACCCATGTGCCTGTCTGGGCACTCTCAGCCCCTCAAGGCTCTGTGTGGTGAGGATGGTTTCTTAAGGCCTCTTCCCCAGCACGCATCTTTCTGGAAGGGCTTCCCGCCCAGAGGGGTGGGCAAGATGCACCGCTGAGTAACCTGTTGCGAGGAGAAAGTGCCTAGTGCCGCTGTCCTGGACCTGGGCACTGCGTGAGGAGGGGCGCTGGCCTAGGTCTCCCTGGAGACGGCCAGGGCCAGGGTCAGGGCGGTGAGGGGGGTCGTACCTGCCGGGCGAGGGGCTGGCTGAGCGTCTCCCCGTAGGGGTTGAGTGGGCACGCGGTGTAGTGCCGCAGCAGGTCCTGCAGCCGCGCGTGGGCGCTGTCCTCGCCCAGCACCACGTGGCGCCCATCTTCAAGCTGGGCCAGCAGGAAGTGGCGGCAGCAAGTCCGGCTCCTGGAGGGCGCCAGTTGGAATGCGACCGGGCAGAATGCGACCAGCTCCCTTTCCCCTGCCAGGGCCACCACACCAGGCGTGACCCCTACCCACCCTGCGCCAGGGTGTCCCACTCTCAGTAGGGGGGGGGCGTGGAGGGAAGGGGGCGGAGCCAAGAGCCGTTCACGGATTAGCGGGAAGCCCCGCCCCTCACCGGTAAGTCAGCACAAAGGTCACAGCGCTCTCGCTGAATCGCACCAAGTAGCAGCCCTGCGGCCTGGTCTCCAGCAGCCTTTCGGATTCCCTGGGTGATGAGAAGAGACAGCGCAGCTCTGACGCTCCCAGCTCTCACGGGTGGGGGGGGGGACCCTTACCCCTAACCAAACAGGCTGAAGTGGCTAGAGAAGGGTGGAGATGGGAGAGAGGGTGTGGGCCCCCAGGGACAGCTCCCCACCCTGCATCCTGGCCTCATCCTGGAAGGGCCACCGCACCACCAGGGATGGCAGTAGACTTCTAGATGTCACAAGATACAAGCTGGACAGAGGAGGCAAACACAGGTGCAGGGGAGGTGAACTGAGGAGCTGCCAGGGAGGAAGGGAGTGGAGAGGGCTGGGCGAGCCAGGAGACACAAGTGGAGACCAGGAGGACCAGAGGCCTTAGATATGGGAGGATAATTGAGCCTGCAGGGGAAACTGAGGCACTGGGGGCGTTGGGCTGGAGCCTCTCCAGCCATCTCCCCCAGGAGAGGTGCCTGAGCGAATGGCCCCTGGAGCCCCCAGCAGCAGTACCTGGACTTGTGGCCTCAACCTATTCCTGACCAGCCTCAAGACCCAGGACTTGCCCTGGTGCCTCTCTCGGCCCGTTTCCTCCGCGGCGACTCACCTCCGGGTGATGAAGCCGTGGAACCAGGGAGGGGCTGCCCCGTGCTGCAGGAGCCCGTGGGCCTGGGTCTGGAACCACGCCCGGGTCTCGGCCTGCAGGGCCTGGCCTCCTGCCCTGGGCTCCTCCTCAGCCTTTCCTGCGTCCTCTGGGCTGGAGGCGGCCCCCGGGGCCTGGGGACAGGCCTGGTTAGGGGGGCAGTTCTGGGAGGGAAAGGAGCCATGATTAGTGGGCCTGATCCTGACTCCAAGCCAGGGGCCACCTTCTCATCCTCATCCCCAGCCCCTCCTGAGTATGGGGAGGATGCTCCGACCCCCTATCTCACTTGCCTGTTTTAGGGCCTAATTGCCCAGAAAGCCCTTCCCGAGGTCTAACTTAAGTCCCAGCGTCAGCTCCAACCGTCCTGGTTCCCCAGGCAGGTTCTCCGCTCCCCCAGATCCTGGGCCTTTGCCTCAGGAGTGGTGAGCGGCAGACTGCACTTAAATGGGCAGAGGCCTTCCAGTGGCCAGAAGGGCGGGAGGTCACCCCCCAGGCCAGAATGAAGGAGAGTTCACCCTCTCGGAGGAGGGCCTGGCTGGTGAGAAGGACCGAGAGCAGGATGTGCTGGACCAAGAAGCAGATGGCTGCTTCCGGGACTCAGACACTGTACCCTGGTCACCTGGGGGCCCAGCCTGAGCTTCCCAGGAACAGAAGAGCAGTGAGTGGGCAGCGCAGCTCATCTCCGTTCCTCCTTCTGTGTCCCAGCCCTGCAGGCGGCCCCAGATCTCCCCCTCCGCCGTCCCCCAGTTGGCCTGTGTCCATATGCGAGTCCTCCCCCAGGGGAAGGCTGGGAGCCAATGGGGGAGCGGCCCGCCCAGGCCCCCACTCACCACAGGGTGGACAGCCGGGGCCCTGGGGCTGGGCTGGGCCTCCAACTCGGCCTTCAGGGCCTGGAGCCTGGGCCTCGGAAGCAAGGCCAGGCTCTGGCAGCTCCTGCTGGTCAAGTCCGAGGGCTGGAAGGTGCTGAAAGTTGGCGTGGGGTCTTTGTGACTCCCTGTTAGCACAAAGAGGACAGCTGGGGCCTCTCATGAGGGACTGCCTGCCTCCGCTGCCCACCCAGCCCCCAGGCTCAGAGGGGCCCTGCACGCCTCTGACCAGAGACCTAGAGGAAGGGGACAGTTATGACAGTAGGAGAAACGCAGATGGGACATGGGGGACTTCTCAGGGCGGAGGAGTAAGGGGTCCAGGAGGCACAAAGGGGCTGAGGCAGCAAAGGGGCTTGTCCGGGAAACGGCGCCACGAAGGGGGGCTGGGATGTCCGCTGGCCTTCTGGTGGCCCGAAAGTCAGTTCCACAGTCAGGGAGGCACATCTCCTCAGGGCAGGCAGGCCCCTCTTCTGGCCCAGGCCCTCGGCCTTCCCCCAACCCTCCTGCTCCCGCCTCCTTCCTCCTTAAGAAGCACACAGCAGGCCCTGTCACCTTTGCTCTCAGGGCTGAGTGGACCTGCAGCCCCAGAGAAAGAAAAGGGGTGTGGGCACCCCATCATCAGCCTTGCCAACTCCAGCTCGGGGTAGAGCCCCGTCCTCTGAGTGGAAGCCCTGGCTCCGAGAGAGAGCAGGGACCTGGGGGTCTTGTCCCCTCCCACACATATTCTTCAATGTCACACTTACCTTGGGGGCCTCCCTGGGCCAGGGAGAACTCCATGGGGACAGCCTGAGAAGGCTCTGGGGAGCAGGGTGTATGTGCTCTCACAAGGTGTGCACACTCAGCAACTCTCTTGTCACCCCAGCCCCCAGGGCAGGAAATGTCGCCTCACCCACAGCCCTAGCCCTGGCAGAGGACCCACGTCATGGAAAGCCGTAAGATAGTGGTCCCTCCCCCGGAAGCCAGGCAGCTAGCTGAAGGTGGGGGCAGTGTGGTAGTGGGTTTTCGTGTCACTCTGTTGTCTGGCTGTTGTAGACTCCTAACTGCTATCTGACCTGGGTCCCCCATTCGCTGTCTACTCCCTCCAGGCTGGGACCCCCCCTCTCTCCCTGCCTCTGCTCTGAGCAGTGGCAGTGGGGATGTCAGCCTCAGGGCTGCAGGCTCCTTGGAGGTTTTTACTCAGGATGGCGCTCTTAGGACACACGAGGAGGGGAGCGGGCAGGGCTGCTTCAGGGATGCTGCAGGCGGACGTCTGGAGGACGTTCTGAGGTCATATAAAACCTGTGAGAGGAGGGGTGAGGAGGAGGGGGCCTGGCTTCACCCTCCAGCAGATAGGGAGCTGGGTCAGGGCAGGCAAAGCCGGCAGTCGTGGGGGACGGGAGGGAGGTGTCCTCTGGCTCAGCAGGCCCCTAGTAGCTGGGCCTCTGTTAGCCGTTGTTGCTTAGTTCAGTGCTGGTGTTGAAATGCCACCGGAGAACCCAGTTCTCTCTCAGGTGATCCTCATACATGAGAAGGGGACTAGGAACATTATTTCCATTTTCCAGAAGGGAAAACTGAAGCTCAGAGGGGCACCTTGGCCGGGGTCTGTCCGTGTCTCAGGAGTTGGTGACAGAATTGAAGCTGAACTGAAATCTCTCATGCTGTGACATGTCCACGGCTATTTGCCAGGCACTGTTATTGGCGTGAAGAACCCAGAAAGAAAAAGGGTCTTGTCTCAGATTATGGGGTGGTGGGGTGGGGGAGGGACGGGGCATGGATATGCCTGTGGATACTCATGGTGGGAAGTTAGTGGAGTGGGTGGGCTCCCGGGAGCCCCCGGTGTGTGTGTGTGTGTGGGGGTTCATGCAGCTTGGGATGTCAGGACACTGAGCTGTGCCGTGGAGGAAGATGGGGAAAGGTGTTTCTAGAAGAGTGTGAAATGCATGGAAGGAATGGTATGCTGCAGAGGTAGCTGCAGGGACAGTGGCACTGGAGCGGAAGCCGGCTGGGGCTGCCAGCCGTGGTCGTGCAGCTGGAGGGGACAGGCCCGGAGTGGATTGGTGCGTCCTTGCACCTGAAAGGAATCTGGACTCCCCACTGTCGTCACCCTGGAGAGCTGCTTCCCCACCAGATCTGGGCAGGGGATACTTCCCAGCGTCACTGCAGGCCCAGCCACACCCAGCCACAGGCCACATCATCCGAGCTGCCCGCTGCCTCTTCCCTGCCTTAAAAACTGTTGCTGTAGACTTGCTCAACCCCCGGGGGTTGGAAAAGAGACTGAGGGGTGCCTTAAAGATCTTCTCCAAATTCCTTATTTTAGTGAGTGGGAGACTGAGATCCAGAGGGGACAGTCACTGGCCCAGCTTGACAATAAGTCAGAGGTGGGTGGGGCTGGGCCTCCTGAAAATCAACAATAAAACCTTTTACTGAGTAGTCGCAACTCAATGGGCTTCAAATCTGACATGGTTTGATTTTGTCAACCAGACTCTGCCCTCTTTCTAACAACATCATATGCAGATAATACAATTTGTACTCACCTTCAGGCATGGAGTTCAGTTTAGTCCATTAAAAATCTCCAACATCCAATCACACACTTGATTTAAACTCCTTCCTTCTCCTTCCCCAGTGCCAGCTCTTCCTGGCCAGTGGCTGAGGGAACTGGAGTGGGGGAGGGGCGTGGTCGGCCCCTCCCCCAACCTGGGCGGGGCAGGACCCGGAGGGGCGGAGACCAGCCTGGGATTTGTCATCTATGGCTGTGTAGCAGATTGCTGCCAATTTAGACAGAAGTTGTGCTACTTCTGTCACAGTTTCTGTGGGTTAGGAGCCTGCGGCACAGCTCAGCGGGGTCCTGTGCTCAGGGTCTCAGAAGGATGCGGAGGTGACTGCTAGGCTGGGTTCTTATCTTGGGGGAGAGTCTGCTCCCAGCTACTCAGCTTGTTGGCAGGATTCATTCCCTGTGGTTGCAGGACCAAGTCTCCGGCTTCTTGCTGGCTGTTGGCTGGACGCTGCCCCCACCCCAGAGGCTGCCCCACCAGGCTGCCCTCCCACCCTGCTCTTTGCCAGCTGGGCTTCTCAAGAGAACTGCTTACTTCTTTGAAGCCAGAGGGCCTCTAGCAAGATGGGGCTAGAATTTCATGGGATCACATACATGTAATTACCTACACCTTCGCCATACTCCATTGGTTAGAAGCAAGTCACGGGTCCCACCCACACTCATGGGGAGGGACGTACACGAGGCATGAAGTCCAGGAGTGGGGATCCTGGACTTATATCACTCGTCACCTGTTGGTGTGAAAGAGGCCTGACCTCACTCTGGCCCATGGCTGGTAGTGGCCTCCGCCTTCCACGGGCCCTGCTCAGCTTTGCTGGGTCTGGGACCCTCTGAGAAGAGGCCACTGGGTCTCCCTTCAGCCCAGCCAACAGCTCCTCGGCCGTCCTCCTGGGAGTCTCTCCCAGCTAGCAGCCAGCAAGCAGCCCTGTGGCTACTGGCTTTCAGCCTCTCTTGAAGCCATGGAAACCGCTGGGTCTTCTCTTCCAAGATCTGTGGGGGTGGGGTGGGGCTGCCCACCCTCTTTCTCTAGGTTCCCTGCTCTGTGTTCCTCTTCTCTTGCCCTTGCCGGCTGCTCCGGCAAGCCTCGCCCTGCAGACATCTTCAGGTAAGAAGTTCTTGGTACACAAAACTGTCCCAGACCCTAGGGGACACTTGTATTCTTCCTCTTGTCCCTGGTCCCTGGAGCTACCTGTGGCATGTCGCAGGTGCTCGTAACCATTTGTAGAGTGAGTGGATGATGTACTGGGAGGCTGGCGGAGCTCAGCAGGCATCAGCTGGCGAGGCCCTGCCCCCAGGACGATGAGTGAGTCTGTTGAGCAACCGTGTTTCCTGTGGCTTGGAAACGGAGTATCAGTTAGGTTAGGCTAGGTTATGCTGCAGTAACAATGAACATTAAAACCGCAGCAGCTTAACACGACATAAGTGTGTTTCTCATGCAAATCACACGCAGCTCTGGGCATCTCTTTAGGGCAGTTGGTGCCCAGGTGACAGCCCAGCCTTCCAGGTGGCCTCAATAGCGAGTGCTGCCACATCTACCTACCTTTCCACAGTCACTGTGGTATGAAGAATGACACAGTGCTTCCTAACTGCTCTCCCGTCCCTGGGAGCGAAACACGCTGCTTCCTTCTGCTGACACGTCGGTAGCCAAAGCAGGTCACGTGGCCGGACTGATTTCTAAGGTCAAGGGTGTGCCCTCTTCCACACACCCCACAGGGGAGGAGAACCAGCTCAGTGGGAATCTCTGTCGTCTACAAGACGGAGGAAGCACCCCAGCTCATTTACCCAGTCGGAAGGGCAAGCTTAGCAAGCGTCTTAGCAGGTCCCACTGCAAGCATCCAAGTGTGACCCTCTCCTTGGGAGGTACACGCTCAGGGTGGGGAGGATGAGGAAAAGAGGGGTGACCCAAGAAAAAGATCCAAAACAACACTCCTGCTTCGGTTACCACTTCAAAATGAGCTGCAGACAGACACAGTGGTTGGTTGACGGGCTTTTTTCACTTGGCAAAGGGGACCTTGTCCAGACAGTGTACAAGGCAGAACCACATCTTGGAGTAAGGAATCCAAAGGCGGGAGAAAGGAGGGGAACTTAACTCCCCAGCTCTCTGTTACCTCGCACTTCCCACGGGTCAAGGTTATGTCACAGGAAGTGCCTTAGAAGAGGTTGCGTCTTCTGTGCACGGTATTCACTCAGGAAGCTGGGTTCCACAGCTCATGCGTGGTGGTGTGTTTGGTATGAGTCAGGATTAGAGGGGGGACTCAGAGAGACAGGCTCAGGATGTGCTGTGTGAAGACCTAGGACTCCACCTTGGA